AGATGCGAAAGAAAATGCAAAGAGATGCAACATCTCTTCGCAGTGCCAATGAATCGAGCCGATCGGAAAGGGCTCGGTCGTCGATTTTTTTTATCACACTTATCCTATAAAAAAAAATCTGCAGTAGCCAACCCGCCTGCTAAGCGTGGCTACAATGGCCAATCTATGGGAAACCCCCATGAGACAATCTTTGGGGGAGACCTATAATCAGCAGTGGAATTTTGATGGGCGCTGATAGCAAAAATAATAGTAACACTGATCTTGAACATTTAAGGACTTACCTGCCAATTTTCCATAGCTCGAATTTGAAAGCTTTTCCCAAGTTCAGTTGGTAAGTTGTACAGAGTTGTAGCACTACTCGGCATTTCCAAAACACTCATGAAAGACAAAGTTGTTTGTAAACAATTAGATTCTTGAATCAATAATACAATTTATATTATATAAGGAAGCCTGTAAGTCTAAGAAGTTAAAATAACTATTTTTTCTGTCAATGCCGAAAATCAATTTGGTTTTGGAATTGGTCAGTTCTAGCAACACTGCGCAGGTTGTTATTTTTTTTACTTCTATATTTGTGTGCCAATCCAATGTGGCAATAGTATCAATGTGATAGTAATATAGAATTTTAAAATAATCTTATCACCATAGTACCTACCTCTATTACATGAATACGTATTATTACTTTTACTTACTTACTTACTTACTTATCTTCACGCACAATCCCTGACGGGGTAGCCAGAGAGAACAGATCGCCAAGTGTCACGATCCTTACATATCTCTTTCGCTTCTTTCAGATTCATTATCTTCTTCATACATGCACGTCTAGGTATCCGAGTACTCTTGACCCTACCCTCTTCGAGCAATTTGCTCACATGGTCTTCGAAAGTTAGTCTCGGTCTACCTCGACACCTTTTAATATTAACTTTCGCGCTATATATTTTCTTCACCATTCGGTCTTCACTCATTCGCTCAACGTGCCCAAACCACCGAAGCACGCCCTTATCAATTTTTGTGATAAGGTCATCTTTCAAACCTGCCATATTGCGAATCTCTTCGTTTCGCTTTCGGTCGGCCATAGTAACGCCGCACATTTTACGAAGAGATCGCATCTCCACTGCATTCAACTTACTTTTATGCTTCTTCTGGCATACCCAGGTTTCGCTGCCATATAACAAAGTCGGTACCAACACTGCGTTATGTATTGCAAGGCGTGCACTCTTCGCTACACCTTGCCTTTTGACTAACGCAGTCAGGGCACCATTGACTTTGTTCCCGGCAGCGACACGCCTGTCCACATCTAAATCACATCTTCCATCCCGGCTAAAAGCACTCCCCAAGTATACAATTTCATTTACCTGTTCTAGACATTCCTGATTTACCCATATTTCACACTTCGTTCTCTCTTCGTCCCTTTCAAATAATACGTATTATTAATTAAAATTATTTAATAGTGACGTTACATTAACGTACTATTCAGTAGTACGTTACGTTTGCATTAAGAAGCAAGTTATTTGTGTGTGTTGCAAATTTCGATAGTCAGTAACTAATTATGATATGACTTAATCTATAAATAACTTGGTTAAAATAATATGTAGACGCCGAAATAGGATAGTAGCTAGATAGCGTATAGTTGAAATCCCGTATACAAAAATTATTTGTCTGCTTTATAAACTACTGTTCCTCTGTAAATGTAGATGAAATACCTCTTCGAAACAGGAGAAAATGCTGTTATAAGAAACCGTTAAAAAAAAGGAAATACAAACATGTACTCAAAAAGAACTATATTTTGCATGAGACATCGTTGCTAATTATTTCTTTCATAAATAAAAGCCCTTTTTATTATTTCAAGCAAATGTTTTTGTATTTTATCGAGCTACAATTCATTCATAGCCTCTTTTATTTTTTTATCTTAACGAAAAAGATGGTAATATCTTCAGATTTATCTGACTCCGCATAATCCGCTGACCGATCGTAAATCATGACAAAGCTCGAGCTCTCGTCGACTGTTATAGTTTTTTCTACCTTTTCTTGATCCTAATATCCTCTTCTATTTCTTTATCAACTGAAATATCTGTATTAGTATAAATGTTATTTTTTATACAATTAAAAGTTTGCAATAAAGGAGAAGTTGATATAGTCACCATGCTTAGCAAGTATATAATATCGCAGCAGTTAACAAAGGCAGGCTTAGTACGCCTGCCTTTGTTACTGGTATGTATTAAAATTAAGTGTGGCAACTTAAAATGTGTTACTAATTGTCTGCGTTACTTTTTTAGAAGACTAAAGGAAAAGAGGTGGTTAACAATTCCGTTGAACCGACTTGGTTATTTCTTTTTATTTTTCTCTCTTTTATAATTAATACAGAAATATAAACTTTTTTTATTCAATATAGATTACAAATAATACAATGAAAGTCACTCTTTTGTATAACTATAACTGGTTCGAAAAAAAACTCTGTCCTGAGAAGAACCAGCAAGAAACCCAGAACTATGAGCAGGTCAAATTTTGTATATTTTCTGGGATTTTGTTGTAAAAGCGTATATACTTCGCCCCAAGGGTGAACTACTGATTCGGTGGAGTGGTGGAGTTTTGTCTGTTTCTAGTATTTACAGAATTAATATCACTTATTTTTGTATAACTACCTTTATTTTTGTCTACGTACATTACATTTAATAAATTTATTAGAGGCCAAATTTAATATATTAATTTCCTTAAATTTTTGTCCGATAAATAATACACAAATATAAATCTTTAATAACAGACCAAAATAAGACTTCATTATTTTTCAATAGTATTTTCTTTTGTTTTTAATATTCTTACAATAAATGAAAACACGGTTGTTAGTTAACTAGCGCTCACCTCCATTTCATAATAATTTCAAAAAAAAAGAAAGAAAATGCATGATCTCTAAAAAGATAATAAATAGTCATTTTATAAATGTATATATTGGTAAATAGTCAATATTTGTTCCCAAGTCAATGAAAATTACACTTCTTCAATGTATTTTTATATTGGAATTCTACATTTCTGAAAGAGATTTTGTCAAAATGTGTCGGTGTATGTGTTTCAACTTTTTAAAAGGAATGTGCGCGAGTAGTAAGCAAAACTTGAATTTCATTGCTTGTCAAAAGCTTAGCAGTGGCACGATACCGCGGGGAGTAATGTATGATAATAAAGTTACTATTTGTAGTTTTGTTTTTTTATTATAGATCTCAGAATATTATTTTATTTATTTTTTTAGATTTGTAACTCGTAAAAAGTTAAATATTCTAAAATCACATTTCCATTTCAAAATAAGCTTCCGACGTTTGCCAAGACGTAGAGCAAAATACATTAAATTGGTTAGTCTAATCTTTTATTATCTTTGTTCCATAAATAAGTACAATTTTAATATACTTTTCATTTTAAATGTACCAATACACATCAATTATGTGTATTGGTACTTACTACAATTGTATTAAAATGTATTTATGTCGTATATATAGTGTAAGATTGCAAGTGTAGAGTTAGTTAAAACACATCAAGGTTTTTATTCAAACATATCAATAATAAATATATTTTTTAATTTACAGGCCTCTCCTGAATATTACACAATTACTCTTAAGACAAGTATAAAAGGTTTTGCTTGATGCAGATTGGTATTTTACTACTAACGAAATATATTGTTACTTACTCTTACGGCCTGGCCACGGGTATCGGCGGCGCGAACGGCGAAGCGGCAGGCGGGGCGACAATTCGCGCGGCGCGGTTTGACGGCCACGGGCAGTCACGTTCGCCACCACGACCAGATAGGCCGAGAGTGAAATTTCTTTATCAAAGTATCTCGATATTGATTAGAAAGTAATCGTTTTTTTGGTTCAAGACATAATATTTGGAAGACATTGTGGAATACAAGATTTGAACATGGGCATGCAACTTAGAACATTATTTTACGAACAAAATGATACGTTTTATGTGCTCCCATCTACACTCCTAAGCGCTAGGCTAGACTTATTTTACTTATTTTAATCTCACTAGAGGGCACTTATATATAAAGTCTATGCATACGCAATAATCCACGCGCACTACGCAGTTAGTAGCGGTCACTGGTTACGCTTAAATTGTTATTAATATTTATTGAACATTATTTATTTTTAGAAAAAGCCATTTTATCTGTGTTTTCAGGTAATGAAAATCTGCTAAAATATTATTACAATACGACAACAAATTTCGCCGTCATACTTAAGGTTAAAATAGCTCAGGTGGATAATTGGGCGGTCCCGGAATCTAAAGACCCCGGATCGCGTCCAACATATTATGTGTTTAATTTTACACTTTTTTTCAAGATCCTTATTTTGTAAGCGCCGTCTGTTATGCAAAGCACGATACTAAAAAAAAAAAAATTGAGTCGCGCGCGCATCTATCTCTAGTATATATACAGATCTATGAGTCTAGTCACGTTCGGCACCGCGACCAGATAGGTCGAGATTGAAATGCCTTTATCAAAATTATCTCGATATTGCTTAGAAAGTAATAGTTTTTTGGTTCAAGACATAGTATTTGGAAGAGATTGTGGAGTACATGATTTAAATAGGAATCGGGTGATAGATGGAGAATTCCACAAGAAGTACGAGAAGTATAGAATGTATCCACAAAAATTTTTCGAGTATACCAGAATGAGTGTCGAAACCTTCGATTATATTCTTATTAATATTCAACCAGAATTGGAGAAAAAAGTCAATGCAGATAGAATTTTACGCGCCGCTGAAAAATTGTTTTTGACACTAAGGTAACATATATTGATACTAGCGGCCCGTCTCGTCTTCAATAATATATATATATATATAAAAAAAGAAAATACTTTTAGACAATTATGTTATTTATTGAAACAATCTAAATTATATGACTTTAACTCTTCGTACAACTAAAATATTATAACTTTTTACTTTTTAATCAGCCTTTTATGTTCACTTCAGTCATTATTATAATCATATAGCCTTTTCGATGTTAACTATATAGGTACTCTATTCGTTATTAACATTATTTAGTTGGTTTGGTTGAGACGAGTAACAACATCGCCCATAAGGTTCGCCGTATATCGTGACAGTTATTTCTTCTAAAAGAGCCTGGTTAATTTTATTTCTTAACCTGAGTTTTTGCGTAGGAGGCAGTTTTTCCATTTCAGGCAAAATACTCATTAAAAAATAGTAATCATCAGTTTTTTTTTCACTGTCAAGAGGTATATTTTTAGAGATATCGTTTTCTAGAATTTTTAGTTTTTTTTTCTCAATCTCTAAATATTCTGCTCGAATATCTTGTATATTTTGTCGTTTTTTTTTTGAACTTTGATAACTAGATGTAGAGGGTTCAATCGGTGAAGATATACGACTAGGAGAAGGTGACCTCACTTCATTTAAAACTTCAACAGCTATATCATGATCGTCTCCGTAGTCGATTATTATTTCACTGTCTCCTTCGTCTAAGTTTGATTCGGCAGTTAAAGGCATGTACTCATCTTTCAAAAATCCTAGTAGCGTGAAGTATTTCCAGGCTGGTTCATAATTCGAAGATGAATCACCCGACCGGGATTTAGGCATTTTCTTTAATTCTTTACTATATGTGTCCCTCAGGTTCTTCCATTTCTTTTTGAGATCGCTGACTGAAAAAAAAAAGGTTTAATTTAAATCCTTACTAATATTATAAATGCGTGTTTGTTGGTATGTCCTTCCTTAATGGAGCAACGGATAGACGTGATTTTTTGCATAGAGATAGTTTATGGCCCTGAGAGTGACATAGGCTCCATTTCATTCCGAAATTCCCGCGGGAAAGAAAATTCCCAAGGGAAACAAAAACCACGCGGACGTAGCCGCGGGTGAAATGAAATCTAGTATAAAATAGAAGTTAGGCACTTGAAAAAATAATAAATATAAATGCACGAGAGTAAATGTGTAGGTACATAAAAAGAAAATCTTTTGTTTTTCAGATTTCTCTCTGTTGGGATGACTTTTAAATCTCTGGCTCAGTCATACTCTCTAGGCCGAAGCACCGTCGCCAAAACGATATATCAAACTTTAAAGGCAATTTGGAAAAAGTTGGTTATACAGCATATGTCACCAAAATTAACAAGTGAAGATTTAAGAAAAATTTCAGACATGTTTTTTTCTAGATGGCAATTCCCTAATTGCATAGGAGCCATTGATGGAAAACATTTTCGCATACAGAAGCCACCACGGAGCGGTAGCCAATATTATAATTATAAAAAATTTTTTTCAATGGTCCTACAAGCAGTTTCTGATGCAGATTATAAATTTTCTGTGATTGAGATTGGTGGAAAAGGAAAACAAAGTGACGGAGGCACGTTTCATTTTTCAAAATTTAATGAATTGCTTACTAACAATCAATTTAATATGCCACCGCCAAGAACATTACCTGGGTCAAATATTTTACTGCCACATGTCCTAATAGGCTTCGCTTTCCGTCCAGTGGTTTAGATGACTCGAAAAGAGTTTTTAATAAGAGGTTGTCAAGAGCTCGAGTGACAATTGAGTGTGCGTATGGTATAATGACCAATAAGTGGCGAATTTTCCTCAAAGCAATCGAAACAGACACTAAACATGCAAAACTAATTATTAAGGTTGGATGTCTACTACATAATATTGTAAGAGAAAAAGATGGAAACAGTGATCCCGATTTTAGACGGTACATAAGTTCTAGATCTACATCTAATCAAGTTATAGCGTCTCGGCGGAATAATCGAGCTACGTCACAAGCTATAAACATAAGAAATAATTTCAAAGACTACTTTGTAACCTATTGACTAATTATTTGTAACTATGAATAAAAAAATTGCTACTTACCTTCACATTCAGAAAATTTTATTTTTATTTCTTCCCACAATTTTTTCATTACGTTTTTGAATTTATGCTGTGGGTGGCCAGACTTCCAAATAGCTGGTCTAGCAAGTATTTCAGCAATAAAAAATTCCGTATTCATTTTTCGCGGCGAAAACGACTAAAATATTTTGTTTCTTATACTATTCGCCGCGACTGCCGCTCGACTCCGTGGCTTGCGTCGTACTGATTCATGCCTTTGTTTCAGTCGCCCGCCGCGTCGCCAGTCGCCCGCGCGATTCGCTCGGTAAATTTCGCCGGTCGCTTCGCCACTCGCCGCTGCGCGTGGCTTGATCCGTACATTTCTATACATTTATTTTAGTCGCAAGACGCCTCGTCGTTCGCACCGCGCGAATTTTCGCTATGGCGAATGTCCCGTGGCCAGGCTGTTAGGTGGACAGTGTGCTAGTTTCCTTTAGCCAAGGCTATGCTTGGGGTTTCTTATTTCATAGCTCGCTGAACGACTTTGAGCGTCCTCATACTGGAAACAGACTGGTTGTACAGTCTCGTTTTCAACCTTTTGAGGTATACCTGTCGAGAAGATGTATCGTAATTTCCCGAACGCTGCCCAGTCGAGTTGAATCTGTCGATTGACCTCTCGGTCGAATTTGGGCTTACCTAATCGGACTATTTTTCCCAGGTAAACATACTCCTCAACAACTTCGAGCTTAGTACTCCCAACAACTGCCATGTGTGATATGGGCACTCCCAACAACTACCAGGTGTGACATGAAAATACACATAATCTTTCTTTTGTCCATGTTCATTTTAAGATCCATCCGTTGGGTGACACTATTGAGGTCATTGAGCAATAATGCTTAGGTCCTCCAGCGATTCTGCCATAAAGACTATACCGTAGGCAAATCTAAGGTTTGCAGTCCAGTAGCTTGAAAACGACTTCTAATGTAGCGGCGAAGAGTTTCAGGGATATAATGTCAACCCCGTGTAGTGGTGAGTAAGAATATCCACTACCCCATATCTTCCCGTGGGTGTCGTGAAAGGCGACAGAGGGAAAACTGAGAAGATAGGCAACAACATCTTTCTGATAACAGCAAATTACAATAAAAAACAGCGGTTATCAACCCGCTCGCCAAGCGTGGCAATTGTGGCAATTTAACCCCCATGACAAAAGATACAAAAAGACGGCCCGTAGTGCACGGCGACCCCGAAATTCCTGGCGACCATGGTAACGGTGGGGCAGGGGGTGCTAAGAATCTCCGGTGGAAGTTCGCTGTCCACCTATGATGACTCGACCAGGCAGCATACAATGCACTTACTCTGAGGAATGACGAAAATATCTTGGAGCAGAAAGAGGAAATAGACAAGTTGCGCTGGGTTATTATAGGATTATCTGAGGTCGGAATAGAGAGGGAGGACACGGTAATTCTCGAATCTGGCAACTTGTTCAATCACCGGGAGGGCGACCATATGTCCCAAGGAGGTGTCGAGAGACTTGTGGATTTAACGTCCACAAGTCTCTCGTTAACAACGTAGTAAAGATTGTAGATGTGTCGACGAGGATTGCGTACCCTATACTCAGAATCACCAAACGGTATTTGTTGAAGGTCACACAGGTTTACGAACCAACCTTGGCACATCCCAAAGAGGAGGTGTAGGAAAATATATAAGGATATCTCTAAAGGCATGCATTCCTCCAAAACCTTGTTAATGGGACTTCAACGCAAAACTAGGTACAAAAGAGAAGGACGGGATAAGGATAAGAATTGGGCAACGGAAGCCAAGGAGCCAGCAGCTGGCCCACTTCATGGAGAAAGAGGAACTCTTAATGATGAAATCTTTCTTCCAGAATCGGCCCCACAGGAAGTGGACCTGGTCCCTTCCCGACCCTGTCGAGCCTCGATGGTTGAACAATGAGATTGACTTCATTGTGACGACTAGAAGTAACTGTTCAGTGATATCTCAGTGATCGCGAGGGTGAAAATTGGTATTGATCACCGAATGATTAGAAGCACACTGAACCTAAATGTAAAGTTGGAGAAATTTTTTTCTTCCAGAAGCGGTCCCACAGGAAGTGGACCTGGTCGAGCCCCAATGGTTCGACAAAAGTTTTGAGATTGACTTCATTATGACGACTAGACGGAAAATTTTCATTGATGTCTCAGTGATCCCGAGGGTGAAAACTGGTAGCAATCACTGAATGGTTAGAGGCACACTGAACCTAAACGTTAAGTTGGAGCGGTCTCGTCTAATAAAATCAACGCTCCGTCCCCCTCGTGCTCCACTCCAGAGTTCAGAAATCTTTCAGATCGAGTTAGAAAACCGTTTTCAGTGCGCTGCAATGCAGTGGATGATATGAATACCAAGATCGTGGAAGCCGTCTTTGCGATCGAAGCTAATTTTTGCAAGAATCGCCGCAGAAAACAAAAGAACTCTCCGATCACACTCTAATAAATCTCATGGCTGTTCAACGGGAAATGAATCTGCAGTTTTCAGTAGATTTAACAGATTACAGGCAACTGTACAGATAGATCTCCAAATATATGCGGCGGGACTAACCCAACTTCAAAACTGCTTGTATTGAAGAAGCGATCGAGCGGAAACGGGGCTCTAAATTCTTTGCTAGAGATCTGTCTGCCAGAAAGAGCCAACTGTTGAAGCTGAAGACCGAATGTAGCAGCGTTGTTTCCGGGAAACCTGAGATTTTGAGTTAGATTGAGAGGTTCTATGGGCAGCTATATACATCATTGTTGGAGCTACACCCAAGTATAAGTTACGATCGAAAAGTAAGTCTTATTCGACCATATTCCGATGATTTTCCCGACGTCAGTCTGAGCGACATTAGAATGGCTTTCCAGTACCTTGAAAACGGCAAGTTCTCGGTCCTGGAATTACAGCGGAGCTTCTGAAAGCGGGTGGAAAACCGGTGCTTAAAATCCTTCAGAAGCTTTTTTTAATTCCGTCCTCCATAGTGACACTACTCCGGAGGCGTGGAGCAGAAGTGCGGTAGCTTGTTCTTCAAAAAAAGCAACAACGCTCTCTTGAAGAACTACAGACCGATTTGCCTTCTGAGCCGCGTCTACGTGCCATTTTTGAGAGTCATTACGAATCGTCTCGCCTTTCTGCCTTCCGAAAAAGCCGGTTTCCGAAAAGGCTTTAGCACCGTAGACCACACAAATACCCTTCGGCAAATTTTACAGTAGTCCAAGGAGTACAATTTGCCACTATGTCTGGCGTATGTGGACTATTAGAAAGCCTTTGAGTCCATGGAAATTTGGGCGGTGCTACAGTCCCTTCAGCTGTGCCAAGGTGAGTGTCGGTATATCAAAGTGCTGAAGTGTTTGTTCAGTAGGGCTACGAAACCTATCCAACTGCAGCAGAGAGGTGTAAGACAGGGTGACGTTTTATCCCCGAAACTCTTCACTACTGCATTGGAAGACGTTTTCAAGCTTCTGCACTGGAAAGAATATGGTATTAACATCAATGGCGAGCACGTCACTCACTTACGATATACTGACAATATAGTCCCAATGGCAGAATCGCTAAAAAACCTAAGTACTATGCTCAAGATCTCCATAATGCCTACCAACGGATAATACTAAAGATGAACATGGACAAAACAAAGATCATGTATATCGTTCATGTCACTCCTATGTAAGTAGTTGTTGAGAGCACTAAGCTCGAAGTTATTCACGGGTATGTTTACCTAGGACAAATAATTGGACTAGGTAAGTACAACTTCGACCTAGAGGTCAATCGACAGATTCAACTCGGCTGGGCAGTGTTCGAGAAATTACGGCACATCTTCGCGTCAGGTATACCTCAAAACTTGAAAACGAGATCCATAGGTCATCAATGGCAACAAGCAGTTCTTGTTGCCAGTGATAACCTATGGAACTGAGACGTGGTTCTTTACTGCTGGCCGTATGAGGAAGCCGAAGGTGGCTCAGCGAGCTATGAAGAGAGCCATGCTCGGGGTTTCTCTACATTATAAACTTAAAAATGAAAATATCCGCAGTAGTACCAGAGTGACCGTATTCCAACGGATTAGTAAACTGAAGTGGCAATCGGCCGGCCATATATAGCTCGAAGAACCCTCCACTAGATGGAGTGACGACCTGGTAACTCATGCAGCAAGTCAATGAACGCAGGTGGCTCAGGACCGTGATTTGTGGCATTTCTTGGGGGAGGCTTATGTTCAGCCCCACAAAGGAAATACCAGAACATAATATTAAAATAAAGTATAAGTATAGTTGTTAATATATAAGTTAATATAGTACATATTGTTTATTGCACAACTGTTACGACGGAGGATCTACCAAATTGGAACTATTACCGTTATTAAGTTAGTTTACGAAAAGAATTACGCGTTTGCCACAATTGATGGAATGCAATTGTAGCATAGTGACGATGATGATCATGGTAAATTCATAAGTGGAACTTAGTAAGATTTCGGTAAGATAAACAAAATGTTTTAACGCGCGTATTATAAATATAACATAACTATTTATCTACTTACAAATATTTAGAAAAAGCCAAACATAAGATAGATATATAATAGAATAAAATTAATGATGGACCCCGTCAAGGTAATTATTTTCCTTTGTGATAAAAAATGTTCCCCTTTTTTACTTTCATTTATGTGGAGTATTAGCATGGGTATTTCAATTACGTCAAGGATTGTTTATTTTTGTTATACATTACGTTCACAATTCTATAATTAATTTACTTTTTTTGATAAGGGATATTTTGAATAGTATAATATTTGAAATACTGTGTTATGTTATGAATGATTTTAATTATTTTAATTCTTATCTACATTTTTTTCCTTGTTTTTATTAGAATAAGTGTTACAATCGAGCACACAGTCCACCTCATGGTAAATAGATGCGGTGGCCCATAGACATCTATCCTCGATTAAGAATCGAAATGCAGAGATGCCTTATCATCTTTGAGGACTACGGAATGACTCGTTTCCAGTAACATGGTCTCCGGTTCTCTACACTCACCATACAAAACACAGCAGTATTAGGTGCTGTTTTACGTTGATATTCTGGAAAATCTTCCCTTGTTGGTTAAACAATTCCGATTAAAAAAGCTGATACTAATTTCCTACAACAGGAAGAACCTATGCCCAGCTGTGGA